AATAAAATCATAAGTGGTGATTTTTAAAGAGTATTTTTCAAAATGTTGTCAAAAGTATTGATAAGATTTTTGAAAATATTTTCAATAAAAATTAATAAAATATAAAATACTTAAATTGTCAAGGTAAATAAAATTTTATAAGAATAAAAGTCACAAATAGTGATTTTATTAAAATTCTTAAGCAAGATATTTTTCTCAAAATAATATAAAACTGTTGAAAATATTTTGGAAATTTAACCAATAAAATTTTTTACCTCAATAATAAAATAAATAATAAATAAACATTACAAAATATATTAAAATTTTTGTCAATGATAAAATTAAGAAGAAGTTACAAGTGGTGACTTTCCTCCAAATTTTTATCATAAGTGTTTGTACAGGAGAATTATAATCTACTTTGTTTCAAAAAAATATTAAAATAAGTCTGACGACGGAGTCTTTTCAAGGGAATAAGTTATTTCTTTTAATACTCTTGAGGTAAAAAAATTTCTTAAGTTATACCGAAAGTGTTGAAAATAATTTAGAAATTTTTCAATATTCAAATAATAAAAATAATAAAATAATAAGTAAAAAACTATTTGAACGAGACCAATTTAGAATCACATAAGATTAATTGGTAACATATTCAAACCGACGTTATGAGGATGCTATAACTTTTTTCACGAGTAACCGTACTCTCGAACTCAATCTCGAATTCTTAGACTTAAAGATAATTTGGTGGTCAATCGCACCTCAACAAAAAAGATTGATCGTAACTCTTGACTTTTAACTTCTAGCAATTGAGTTCCTAGATCGATACATTATAACAATTATATTCGAATAGACGTTATGAGGGTGCTATAACTTTTTTCACACGTAATCGTACTCTTGAACTCAATCTCGAATTCTTAGACTTAAAGATAACTTGGTGGTCAATCCCACCTCAACAAAAAAGATTGGTGGTAACTCTTGACTTTTAACTTCTAGCAATTTAGTTCCTAGATTGATACATTATGACAATTATATTACAACATACATAGAAACCTAATAAAATTTGCTTGTGAGGACACTTAAGTGGATAACCTATACTATTGACTCATAACTTTATTCAATCAATTATTCAATTTTTTTAAATTTTAAAATTTCAAAGTTTACATTTATCCAAATCTTTTAAAATATATATAAGTTTTATTCTAATTTAAACATAAAAAAAATATATCTCATACCTCATAAAAAATTATATACCGTATAAATCAATATTCACATAAATTTAAATAAATAAAGTTTGTGCTTGAACCACTGTTATTTACTATTTTTTTTTGTCTTTATTTATCTCTGATTTAAAATAAAATAGAAATATATTTTATCTCAATTTAAAATTACACATATGTCTAAATTTAAAATTATACTAACATCTTTTATCCCAATTTAAAATTAAATTTGGATAAACTACATTTTAAAAAATTTAAAATTTTTAAAATTAAGTAATTATCAAACATATATTTATGATTTTTTCTTACAATTAATATTTTCTTCTTTATAAAAGCTAGAGCAATTAGACTTTCGTGATAAAAGTTTAACATGATAAAGTTTCAAAATTAAACATAAAAAATCTTTTATGATACATGTGTAAATCTTAGTTTTCATATTAAAATAATATATGTAATTGTAAACAAGAGATTGACTTTCTCATTGAGATTTGCATGTAATTTTTTTTTATGATTCAAAGTTTTCATAATGCTTATTTAAATTATTTCATAATAATTTTTATATAGATGACTTTTGGAATTTTAAACTATAAATTATAAATGATTAACAATTTTTTTATTTATCTCTATATAATATAAAAATTAGTATGAATTAATATTTTAAATTATAAAAAATATAATAAAAAAATTTCATGCATGGCACGGGTAAAAAAATTAGTTATTTAATATTTTAATTTAATAAAAATATTATATTTATATATAATTAAGATGTAATCCATCTATCCATCTATTTTATAAATTTGACTCATTTTTATTTTTATTTGACTTTTATTCAAGATTTGACATGTTATCTTATGTTTCTTTTTTCTTTTTAACTTTTTTTTGGTTTTTTTTTAATTTACATAAATTTTATGAAAAAAATATATGTAGGTGTTCACATAGCACCTCAATTTGCTTTTCTCTTTTTTTTTATTTTTTAATTAAATAAAATTTACAACAAAAGTAACCAATGTATATGAATGACAAAATAATTTGTACCCGATAAGTCCCTATGGTACTTTAAGTATTTTTCCTTTTTCAATTTTTTTTAATTTTTGTTTTTCTCTTTTTTAATTTTTTTAATTAAAGTAATTTTATGAAAAAGACCCAACATATCGACATGATATCTCATTTGGCTTTTTTGTCTTTCAATTTATTTTATGTTTTAATTAAATAAATTTTGTAATGAAAGATGTTAATTAATAGAAATATCAAAATAATTCGTATCTAACGAGTTTCAATCCATCTCGATGTAATAAAAGATGATTTTTTAAAATCTAGATTGACTTAAAAAGGGCAAAACTTTATTAAAAAGAAATGAGTTTAGATTGAAAGCGTATTTAAAATGTTTTATCTTAGCTCATTTTGAGATATACAAAAATATATTTTATTATTTATTTAATTATATATATAAATGTATTATATTAATAAAATTATTTTTTATCTTAATTTAAGAAATTAATATTTTAAGCTAAGTATGGGGTGTTAACGTGGCACCTTTTGTTAGCACTTTTTTTTTCATTTTTTTTTTCACTTTTTAAATGTTTTTATTTTTTGGTCTTTATTTTTTATTGAATAAATTTTATGAAAAAAAAACTAATTAAAGTATTTACATTTTTTATTTTTTTAATTAAATAAAATTTTTAATAAAAATATAATTTAAATAAAAAAAATTACCTGTGATAAAACGTGAATATTTTTTTTAGTTGATATAGTCTAAGTAGGGATATAAATGATATATTAATATTCGCAAGCTATTCAAGTTCGATTCGAATAAAACTCGAATTCGGCTCAATTATTATCGAATCGAGCTCAAATAATTCAACTGATCGATCGAGCAGAGTTCGAGCATTCTTATATCCGGCTCAAGTAGCTTATGAGCTTGATCGAGCGTTTATATTTAAATATATTTTTATTATTTTAATTAATAAAATATCTCAAATTTCAGCTTGAGCTCGAGCTTAAATAATTGAGCTTTTATCGAACATAATAATCGAGTTTATTTTTACATGTTAATCGAATCTAACAAAACGAGTTTGAGTAGTTCAATTTTTATCTCGAGTCGAGTTTGAACTAAAATGATAAAATTCAATCGAATTTGAACTAAATTTCGAATCTCAAATTTCAAATCGAATTTAAACTTAAACTTAATATTGTATCAATTCAAATTTAATCGATTACACCTTATATCTCAATCATTTCTAATCCACGGTGATAATGTCAATACTATTCATCAAAAACAAAAAGTATTAATGCGTACTTAGTCTTCCACCTGCCTTTACTCTCCGCAGATTACAGGGCTACGGCAACGATTTGAAATCGGCCGACACCCATAGCTCCTACCTGCTACTTCTTAAAACAATTTTTCCGCTGATAATGTTTCCATTTTTAGATTACAAACCTGCAGTTGATGATTTCTCACAAATAAAGGGTTTTGGTCCTTTAGGATTAGCTTTTATTCACTTGCAAACTCGCGGTTAAAATACAAAGATTGACACTGACTAAAGATGTGAAAGAAAATTTAGACCAATGATTTAAAATATAAAGGGGAGAATATACACATGATAGGACTGCATCAGTTTTCTGTCTTTCGATAGGCTATTTCTTCGTGGAAAAGATCAAGGAATGTGAATTGGTCAATAAGCATGGAAAGAATCTTAATGATCAAATGTACTCGACTACTACAGGTCAGTTTATGAAAACAAAGTCTGAGGATTGGAGGGTATGGAACATCTGATAATCATATTATTTTTTAGTGGAAGTCTTTAGCAAAGCAGATTATGAGTTGGGAGCATGACATTTTCTTGTCCTCCAATTGTACAACATAGTGCTCCTCCACACCAGGGAAAAGAAAAGGGAAAAAGAATAAAGGTTAATCTTCAGTATTGAATCTGAAGCAAAAGAATCAATCGAAATTGGACAGCCTCATCATAGTGGGTTGATAATTCCTTATCTGATTTACACATTTCAAGAAGCTTTTGTTTAACAGCTATAGAAGATGTGACTGACATATTTGCCATTTAAGGTATAGAAAAAAGGGGTGAGTAATATATCATGGGATCTATGTCTAGATTCCATGTTAGATCCTCAACTTCTTGTTCTTTTGAAAAACGTTTTTTGGAAAATGACATACATATCAATACCTGCAATTGTCTTAATATCAGGCAATGAAACTCCCATGACTAGGGAGGTTATTGGGTCTTCATCATGAGATTCCTAACAGGGACCAAGTTCCACCATTGGCACCTGTTGGCCTCTCCCTCCAATTGAAGTTTCCTGTTATCTTGTAAGCATAGATAATTTCCCTTTTCTTCACTCTCACCATCCTTCCTAACCTTTTCTTTCCCTTCAATCAAGTTATCCTATGTGCTTGTTAAGCATAAACCTATAATCAATAAGATATGAAGAAGTCTAACTTGAATAGAAGACAAACCCAAAATTTAACATATATGAGATAATACTAATCTAACCGGACCTCAATTATTATGTGACAAATTTAGAAAGAGTATAAGACAAAAATCATATAACAAAGCCTATACCTTGATACTATATTAAACATCTAAACTAAACTTAATTGATTATAAGTGAAAATTCAACTTGAATATAAGACCCAAGAAACCTAATATTTAACAGATGTGAGAGTTATCTTCCATGCCTACATATCAAGGATCACGTGAACAAGAAAATTTTTGTTGGTTCCGTAAAACAAGAAGAGAACGAACGCGATGTCGATGGAAATGTCCGAGTATGCAAAGATGAATCATAGGCATTGAATTTGAGGGCGGAGGAAATGAAATGACTTGAGTTAGGTCTTTTTGCATTACGAGAGTGGTAGTGTCATAGGCTGTTTGATTTTGTTGCAACAGTTCAATAGATTTAGTGGCTGGAAAAAAAAAACGGAGGAATTACGGAAGACTAGAGGGGGTCACAGTGAACTGCTAGTAATCCACATAATTCAACCATGACTGGGTGGAGAAAACAAGCCCTCCAATAAAGCAAGGGCAAATGAGACAGGAAATTCTACAATGTGAAGATCATATTTGAACTTTAGCAATATTCTCATTGGCACATACAAACAGTGATGTGACATGATAAGTTAAAAAGAGCAAAGAGAACTCCATGGTTAAATTAACTTTTGAAAACAAAGAAACAAGGAAACATGGAAGAGAGAGGAAAATGTACAAGGGGTCAACGATAATGATCAATCAAGCATGAAGCAAATACAAAGAAAAGGGGTAACCAATATCGGGGCCCCCAGATACCGTTTGATGCAACATCCTTGTTACAGTATCATATCACTTAAAGGTTTCTCCAAACTAAAAACATGAAAAGGGAGCTTCTTCTAATCTAGTTTATCTATATCCTATCTTCTTTTTTGAATTTTTCATACAAAAGACCAGTTGATGAACATGAAGCAGATACAGTGAGCATTTTCTTCATCATTTACTACTTTCCAAGCAACTGCTCTCTCATAGGAGACTGGCCTTCCCATGCTTGACAAGCAGATACCACCTTGAAGGCACATAAAACCCTGCTCCACCATAACAGAGAGGAAAGAATAATCAACCATATATCTCAGAAAAGCACAATCGCTTATGATGAAATTTTTTGAGTTGGTGACAACTCTATTCATCCAAATAATCAGATATATCACAAGCTGACAGTTGAGATAGATTTTTTGTAGGAAACTATCATGCAAAGCCAGCCCAAATCCATCTTATTAACTCTTTGACAAAATCCTATGTTGATAAACTCTGATAAATCATCATTGATCAATTCCAAGCAATTAATCATATTGTTCACCTTTTGTATGTTTATTATATTTTTGCATTGCTTTGCTTTAGATTTTTCAGATATCTAATGCATTCAAGTTATTTGTCTCACTTAAAATTAAATTGCCCATTTAATATCCCATTCCCGTGCAACTACCTCTAGATAGTAAATGTGGTTCAACTGATATAAGCTAATCGACACACATTACTATAAATTTTCAATCACCATAGATTCCTTAATGTAAGAAGTTAAATCCCCGCTTGTGTTATATTGCTTATGCACTATGGTAGTAAGACTGAATAATAAATTAAATAATAGATGTGTCTTAAATCTTCACGAACAAGAAAATTTTGAATTTTTTATTCTTTTTTAATTTTTTTATATATTCCATTTATCTATATAATTTTTTTATATGTCATTATTACATTTATCTAGAAAAATATTATACCTGATGCATTACTTGTGGGAACTCTGCAAATAGGGCCTTTTGTCCATTCCCATCAAAAATTTTTTCCAAACTTATGTCCTGAAGTGCTACCAAAGTTGTTTCAAGCATGTCGAGTCCTGCTTGATTGGCAAATGTAAAAACTGGCAGTGCCTGCATATATTGCCAAGAAGGTTTTATTTTATATGATACAAGGTGTAACAAAAATGGAAAGATGAGAAGGCAATAAAAAAAAGGGTAAAGAGAAGGGGAAAGAAAGCTAACAAACTAGCATCAAGAATCTAATTCACAATTAATTCCATGGCAATCACTAAGTTAATTTTCTGTAATTATAGCTAACTAAAGTACACAAGCAGCTAGGAAGAGGGTTAAAAACATTTTGTTACCAAGAAGACAATTTTCAGAATGGAGACGCTAACATATAACTTGACTCAAAATGGGCGTTTGGGAGAAAAGGAAACAAAAATTTCAAGTAAATACCTTCAAAGAGCAGCAGAGAACTGCGTCTATGTGATGCCAAAGCATTTTTAGAATGGATTCACTTCCTTCATGTTTCAGCAGCTCCACCCCCAGATAGCACCTGTAAAGAGATAAACAATCCAAAAATATTGGTTAACATACGTCCAGAATGACATAATTGATATTAACAACTAAGAATTAGGTCCAGAATTCTTGGAATTGGGAAAAATGAGTAAAACGAGATTTGACTGACACACCTATAGCTCTGACAAATCCAACGAGCAAGTGTCTGTGCTTCAGGAGTACCAGGAGGTGTCTGGAAACCAGCATGAGAGCCAAAGGGGGAGGGAGAGAGTGCCAATGCCACTCTTTGAACAGAAGCAATAATACTACGGACATACTGTCGAGCCATGGTTGCCACATTTTCTTGCAGGTGGATCTCATACACAAATTGGAATGCAATTGTCATCACGGATTTTGTGCTCCTACATCGACCAGAATGATCAGCAGTTGCTCTGTTTCTGGTAGCTCCAACTTCAAGAGTAGATGCAAGGTCAAGTGTGCGATTTGGACTGGATGCATCCTACAGTAGGTATAAATTCAATTAGTAAAACTAACATAGATAAAAAGAAAAACAAAAACAAAAAAGATAATGAAAGACAGAATCTTAGATAATTACACAGATGATAAACACTTACCATTCCAGAATCAAGGGGGATGATGCGGAAACCAGAAGGAATAATAGCCGCATTGTCAGAGAATGAGACATCAATAGGGGCAAAGATGAGTTCAGCACAGCTGCCGGCTGCATTCTCATCAACTCCACTACAAAGCTGAGAGATTCATATAACAAGGAAAAACATAAATCACAATAATAGAAGAGTCAAAGAGATTATAATTATTTAATGCAAATGAGAACTAAAAATTGGCCATGCCATAAAATAACATCAGTTGAGAGATTGTTGTTGAAAACTGAAGTACCTGCAAGAGGAAGATATCACCGGGCATGATCATGTCCTCCTGATAGTGGCACATATTTTCAAGCTTAATGACCTCCATGAACTATAACAAAAAAGTGATAGAAATTTTTAGGATATTTTTGCCAATTGATGCCAAGGACTATACTCTAAGTGCCAAAATTCAGTATCAAACTATTTACCTCTTCATGCTCAATTGTGTGAGCCAGTGGAAGAATGACCTGACCCCCAAAACTTCCACCTCGAGACACTGGCAAACTACACGGACCAGCTTTGACAGCAGCAGCAGAGTAAGCATCAATACCACTGTCTGCCCACTCTGATCGATGTTCTCGCAAGAATCTGAGAAGTATTGCTGGAGGCACATTCTACAAATAGAATGAAAGCATAGGTTTATAAAATGAAACACATTTGACAAGATTAATAGCTGAAGAAGCTGAAAAGCTATAAAGTGTAATGTTTCAGTTCTGAAGGGTTTTAAGCACAGCAAGAGTTTTTCATAGTATATTTCTAAAGAGCAAACAACCTACATTCTGGCCTGTTATACTATTCTCATTTCAAACATAAATGAGATCAGGCACTAAACCATCAAGGGAACTGCTTCTGAGGTTTTAACAGCTATATATGCAACTATTTTATCTGTTCAGTGACTCCCCTAAACTAAAGTGCCCCATGTGCGTTAATACATGTTCAGTGTGCCACACCCCCAAAAAAACCAAGATTTCCATCAATACTTTTCATCCTTTCCTAACCACTAATTTTTTCCTCTAATTTTTTTTTTTTTCTGGATGTTAAGATTGCATTTTGTCTTTATTCCACAAGATTTCCATCAATACTTTTCATGATCGCACCAAAGAAATTTTGAAATCATTGACCAAGAAAAAACAATTGAATGCTCATTATATCATGGAATTAGTATATCCATTAATCAAATCTTGAGGCCATGTGATCACAACATTGGGAAGAAAAGACAGTTTTGTTTTATTGTGATTTTGTTTTGTTTCATATCTCTAGATCTGCTGTAATAGACATACTTGAAACACATTTAGAAATTGACCTGCAATAACATGGAAGCTTTGGCACATAGAACCGCATTGCCCATTGAAGGAAATCCATTACTATAGGAAAGATTTATGCCCATCATCTTGCCAGGAGATGAGTTCACAAGGAGGGTAACATCATCAACACCATCACTTTCCAACATAGACCATCCTTCATCAGTAAATCCATTAACAGCCTCATTAAAGCCCCTGGACAGTGGAATATGTTAGATTGCCATCTAGCAAGAATTGATCTACTGCACAAACAATGTGAATTGTGAAGAGTTCAACATACTTGCTCAATTTCTGACTAACCGCTCGTAGAGCTGCAGGTCTTCTCCCCCAACCAGTAACATTTGGCTGAGATATTTCTTGAGAAATCTGCCTCAAATGATGCAAAGCCTGCACAAATGCCAGGTGACATTTAATGTCTTGGTTTAGCACCACACTCTTATTCTCTGCAGCATTCTTAGCACAATACACAATTTGATCTCTAAAAGTGTTTGCAAAGGAGTAAGACATAATAATCCAAAGTATAGATGCAAGGAATAGTCTTACCGCCATAGTTGTCTTCTGCGCAAGTAACGTTGAGGACTCATAAAGGGGCCGCAACACTTCAGGAACACTCCAAGGCTACATACAAGCAAGTAGAAAATTAAAACTGTTCCCTCATGCAGAAAAAATGTCTATACTTCACAATGGAAGTAAGGTGATTTACATACCTCCAAATCCATGTGATCAACGACGTGAATGATGGATCCACCCCCTTCACAAGGTCTAATCAGATAACCACTAGGTAGCATTTCTGCTCTCACAAAATTTGCCGCTGGAGGCATAGTCGGACCATTCTGGGTGTTGTTAAGTGATCTTTCACATACCTAAGCAGCATATAACAATTACAACAATCAGACAACAAAAACTTTCAGACAACATTAAGGCAAAAGAATAGAAAAAGCACCATAGTAAACATACCACAAGACTACCATCCTCCAAAACAGATGTGTAGCGCAGCAACCAAAAGTCACGAGCTGGTGCCAATGTTGTTGGCGCATAGAGCTAAAAGAAGGCAACCAAATTTTAAGATTTTCACTATAAGCAATTGCACCATTAATTCCAGACTTTAGTTGCAAATTAAAAGGAAAAAAAGGGAGCTTACCTGCATATAAAGAAGTTCAATGGTCCCACCATTTCCAGTGGACAACACGTTTATAACATCCAGAGATCGGCAATCACGGCACCATGAAGGCCAATCTTTAAGGATTTCAGCGACCTACAGGAAAGAAAAAAAAAAGCATCAGTCAATTCTTCACAAAATTTGAAGCAACAAATGTCTTCTCACAGAAAGCAAAAACGAACTTACTCTAGTAGGATCTAGTCCCACAAGTCCGCATGCACGTGCTGCCACTCCAGGGCAACCATGAGAAATAGCAACGATTCCAATGGAATCCGGACCAGGCTGCACAGCCAGGAAAGATATTAACAATATGTAAAATTGGCAGGCATTCAGGAATCAAGACAACTATTCATAAAAAAAAGAAAGTTTCAAAACACAAGCTTTTTTGATAATCAGCATATTGATACTGGATTGCCATTTAATTCAAGTTTTTTTTTTGGATAAATTCAAGTTACGCTGCTCTATAAAGGGAAAAAAACAGGAAACTGTTTAAGAATTTCATAGTAAGACAAAGGCATGTTTGAGTACCTATGACAAGATCTGTCTGGATGATGTTTCAAAAGAAAGGTAGCAGCATGCTATCACCTACTTATTGGTTCTCCATTTTCATCTTTATTAGTATTAACTAATTAATTATTAACAATCCACAGAGTTTTCCAAAACAGATCTTTTAAACCAATATGTTTCCCAGAAATTATAAGAATTGATTAAAAATAAAAAACAAATTAACTAAAATGGGAAAAGGGAAAATATTAGTACTCAATAGAGAAAGTGGGGTTGTCCTAGATATTGACATAACAAATATGGGTTTGGGTGTTGCTTAGAAGATTAGCAAGATTTTTGTACTTTATTATAGATATTCTCGATAATGACAAAGAATAATGGAGTAAAGATAATGACAGGAGAGAGAGAGAGAGCAGTAACCTTCATCCCAGGCATTTGGACCCACTCCACAGCAGTTCCAGTAGCCTTTGAAAGAAACTCTGTTAAAGTTTCCTCTGCAATGGACAAAAGTCTAGAAAGCATACAAAGCACATAAGGCGCATAAGTATACAGCAATGAACAAAGGTTAATTTTATAGAGAAACGGGGAAAGAAAGGGACATAACAATTGGAGTGAAACGGCAAATATTCCACTAACCCTGCAGGGCTGGCATCCCTTGGAGGATGTTGAGGAGTCAAATGGTGTTGGCCACTCGTCACCACTGATTCACAGCTTGTATCTGTGGTGGCTACGGTCGCCTGCAATACAAAAACCAGTGCAATTAACTCCAATTCCCATAATAGATACTTAATTAAAGTAATACTAATAATTAAAAGCAAATCAAATACTTACAAGGAAAGGGTTCATATTATGTGTTTTGAATTAAGATGAGGTTAATGATTTGATTTGTTAAAATCTTTTTTTTCTGTTATAAGAAATGAAACGTCAAAGGGAAGATCAAGTTTCTTACATTATGAGTATGTTGGCGGAAATAGCTATTTTCATAAACAAGGTGTGAAACTTGCTTTTGTAACCTATCATTCTCCTCCATTAACAGTTTATTCATAGCTGTCAACTTCCTGTTCACAGCTTGGAGGCGAGTCGCCTCTTTCCGTTGTTTTTCTCTACATCTGTCTCAAAGAAAAATAAGATTCAAAAATCCCCAAGTCAAATCGCATAAAATCATCTAAAAAAGAAGTTACAATTGCTAGTATATTAGAAGTCAAGAGTTCTTTCGGCTGACTGAATTACGTACTATATAAATATTTGGAAGATGAAATATTAAAGTTTTGAGTTATGTTATGTACCTGCGATTCTGGAACCAAACTTTGATCTGTTTGGGCTCGATGTTGGAGAGAATGGGACACTCACGAATGAGCTGTTGGCGACGCATGGAGCTAGGCTTAGGGCAGTCATGGTAGAGGCGTTCTAAAGCTTCTACTTGCTCGGGCGTGTACCTCACATACTTGCCATTATCCATTGCTATCTTGTTCCCTTCTTTGCAGGATGAGGTCACCGCCATCATCACGTCTATTATCATATCAAATTAAACCAAGCCTTCATTTAAAAAACATACTTAAATAGATATAGTAGTAAAAAAACTCATGAACAAAGATTAATTATACCGTTCTATTTTTGGGGAACTTTGAAAACACAAACGGATCACCGGCGAGACCTCAAAAACCCATTCAAATTCTCAAAAAGAACAACTTCCGTTTTCCTTCTATGGCAAACTCTTTGCTTTGGGCTTAGCTTCGTGTGTTTTGCTGGGATTCTCTAGAAATGAAGGAAGATTTTTCTTTAGCAAAACCTCAGGAACATGTTCAAAAGATCAGAATCAGCAGCCGCTGTTGTTGATGAACAAAACAATGAAAGAAGGAGAGAGGTTTCTTTCTCGATTTCTGGGCTGTGGTGTTATATATGAAGATAGTTTTTTTTAGGAAAATAGAGAGAGAGAGAGAGAGAGAGAGAGAGAGAGAGAGAGACAGGGATTGATTTGATTCGATATTGGGATTGGCTTAGGAGGAGAAAATGGGTGGGATGGTGTGGTGTTAAAAGGAAAAGACTGAAAGGAAGAGAGACCCCTTAATACCAGACAGAACAGAATATAAGACTTCGTTTTTGTTTTCACATCATAATAATACTAGTATTTTACTACCTTTTTCCTGTTACTTCTGCTACTATAAGCATTAGCTGCTTTCCTTTCTTTTCTTTTCTTTTCGTTTCTTTTCTTTTTGTCTTTGGTTTTCTTCTCCCCCTTCAAACTTAAAACTTAAAAGCACTCGTTGGTGTGGCCAAATATGACAATAACTATAGTATATTGGCAGATGAACTGGATAGGATCCATACTCTCAGTTTCAACGCGTGTTCTTCCATATCTTCTTTTTTTGACGAAATTGCCCTCCTTGTTTCTTTGATCTAGTGCATGTATACTTAATTAAGATTATTATTATTATTAAAAGAAAGTTTTACTTAAATAAAAGAAGCCAATAATCGCTTGATCAAGTGATTAAAAAAATTATAAAATATGTAAAATTTTGAATCAAATTCAAACAACTTGAATCCACTTTTAATATAAAAAGTCAAATAAAATAATCATATAATTTTTTCCAGTTACAAATTTAACATTGTCTTGCATGGATTATATTATATATTAAATAAAATGAAAGTATTTGAACTTAAAATTTTTATTTTTGAATAAGTAGAGGTTATAATAAAGTTATAAATATAATGTGAGGATTTTGAAAAAAAAAAAAAAAAAAGAAGACAAAGATCAAAAAGGAAGGAATGGATGCATGGGTTGTGAATAAAGAGGAAAAAAATTATGAAGGTGTTTGCATGCTGCCTCCATTTCTTATAACAGATCACCACCTTTCCTTTCCCGTAATCATCATCTTAACTCCCTTATATTGTGACATAATCAAATATATGCCTCAATCTTTTTCCTTGGATGCTATCCAAAAGATTACCCACCATAATTTTCAAAGCTATCATTTATAAAAACATATCTCCTTCATCATCATCTCTCCTACCTAATTTCCAAAAATAAAGGAGAAAAAAAAAGAAAAGAACTAGGAAAATATTAATATATACTGCAATTAGAAGGGTAAATGTTTAGGCTAATTTCAATTGTTTTCAAGCTTTTCATACCAAGTGCTTGGCACTAGTTTTATATCCGTACGATACACAAATATATAATTATATATATAATTCAATTATAAACAATATAACTAATAAATTTTATATAAAAGATAAAAAATTTTAATGTAAAATAATAAAAATATAAAAATATTGTAGATCAATATGTTTCTATATAATATAAAGAAAAATACTTTGTATCATATCTCATCTAATAATAATATTTATACAAAATTAAATAATATTTGACTCTAAACCATAGAAATTTATTCTACTTAAAATCAATTTCTTGTGGAAACGTTTGCTTGGTGTTGCCCCTTACTTTGGTGCAAAACATCTAGAACTCACAGTAACAACAGTAAACCCTTAGCTAGGTGGTATCCATCCTTACATTATGTTAACAAATATTAAATTAGTTCAAATTGAATTTGCATTCTTTAACAATTTGGATTGAAATCGTATATTACATATTAAACATAGATAAAACTGTAAATGAAAGGTAAATAGAAGAGCAAAGTCTTGTGACAAATTCTAGCACACTCCAAACTTAACTAAAAAATTTTATATTATTCACATCCATTATTAGTTATAAAGAAAAATATGATAAAATCTCCAAGGACTAAAAATTAAAAAGAGATAAAACATATGAAATTATTCCATTCAAAAGTTTTTTTTTTTTTTTAAAAGCTAATATTGAAAATGAATAGATAAATAAAGTATGAACATGTATAAAAAATGGATAAAAAGAGAAATAAAATCAACTAACAAACATGATAAAGATAAAAAGTTTATGAACATAAAAACCATGCAATTCGGTGATAAAAATTTTCTTCATCATAAAGAAATCAATACATTTGAAGGGTTTTGAAGAGTAACCTCTTAGTACTCTTAGCATACAAGATTCTCTATTTATAATAAAAATTTGAGAGATTTTTATAAATTAAGAGTAATTTAAGCAAAAAGTTACAATGGGTTATTAATTATTTATGTAATATATTTTTTATTTTGAAGTCTACACATAATATTTTGAAAAATTATTCTAAGACAATAAATTATATCAATTGTAATTAATACTTATATAGAAAGAAATATGAAAATATGTTTCCAAGTAATTAGGCTTTTGTTTTAGGTTTGAATTTTTAGCATCATATGCCTTATATATTCATTTAGGTTAATAATAAATACATAAATTATTTCTTAATTAAATACTAAAATCACGGTCATTAAATAGTTAATGCGTTCAAAGCAAATTTCTTATTTATAGTATACATGTTTGATGTTTAAAATTAAGAATTGAATTTGGTTGAAAATGATTTAAGATAATTTAATCGTAACACATTTATAAAAGGCGAGAGTATTGGATAATTTAGCCAAATAAATATCTTTTAAATTAATAAAATGTATATGAAGTGAAATCGAAATAATTTAATACAATGACAATTGTTCAAAATAATCTACATGTCAAAAAACTAAATTATCCACATTGGACTTTTTTTTTACCAAAAATTTTTGTTTATATATATATATATATATATATATAATGAGATGCATAGTTTATTATTTGCAACCCATATACATAAAATATAATGTCATGTTTAGTATACAAAATTATGATATGATATGATAAGATAATATTATGAATATAATTAAATTAAATAACATTATCTTATTTGATATTTGATGTATGGAATGATTATGATATGATAATTTATTTATTTATCAAAATTATCATTCCTCAAAGTTTTATATAATTTAAATTATTGATATAATTTTTAAGGGTATAATTAAACATATAAGTTTAATTCTATGGATTAAAAATAATCCTCTTCACTTGATGAAGATTGAATAATCATATGCCAAGAGGATATAAATCCTCCTTACAATCTCTATCTCTCTTTTTATATACAAATCAAACATGATATAGGATGATTAACATCATATCCTATCAATAATCTTATACATCAAACATGACATAACATTATAATATATGATTGATTTTATAATAAAAACAAAAATACAATATTATAATGTATCATTAATCTTATATAAACATATAAAATCATTATATTATTTATATATATTTATACCTGAATAACATCTATTACTCTGTTAAATATCATATTTAATCAAATATGAGTATATTAAATAATTGATTAAGGTATCAATATTGACCATAATTCTTTAATCATTAAAAAAATGTTTAATGACTGTAATTATACTATTTATTAATTCTTTGAATCATTAAGAAATTTGTTGATTATAATGTATCATTGGTTTAGATTTGATTTATAATTTTGGATATTTTATTGAAATAAAAAGTAAGTCAATTAAAAATTTAAAAGAAAATAAATATAATTAATGTATTAAAATATTTTAAAATTTTAATAAAATCAAATCAATTTAAAAAAAATAAATATGAATAAATATAATTAATATAAGATACGTGACGATTAATAAAGATCGTTCACATGTCAATATTATAAGCTATCCACATTAGACATTTTTTTTGCCAAAAATTTTAATTTTTATATATTTATATAAGATATATATTTTCTAACTAGTATGAGGAAAAAAAAAATCCCATCTTTGAATCTTTACATTTGATACATGTTGATTATTTTAAAGATGAATCGAATCTAACTATTAAATTTTCAAATACAAATTTTTATTTTATAGTTTATATATGAAGAATGAATTTATACTAAATTTGAATTAAATATGTAATTTAATTAATTCACACAAATATTATTAAAAATTTATATTTACAAAATTTAAAATTTTAATTTCAATATTTAAAAAAATTTCTCCTTTATCTAGAATAAGATCTCTTTTAAATGAAAAAAATTACATTAAAAATGTGTGTACACTAAATTAATTTCCAAACGCAAAAAATATGTATGAAAATGATCATACGAAAAGTCTTTGACGGCAAGGGAATAGCTATGTCTTTTCAACAAAAGAAAAAAAAAGTTGAATTTAAGACAACAAGTTTCAAAGTTACACATTTTTGTGATACTATCGATCTCTTTCTAAGAAACGAGTCAATGCCATTTAAGAGAAATTGCCAAGTCAATGAAAGGTCATCTCAACAATCACCATTTCAAAACCCCTTCTCCTCTCGTCTCCATCAACACCAGCCACATCAAATTAATATTTGAAGGGGAAATGAAAATCTAAGGCTTCCAAATGTTTAAGCAATTGGTTAAAAATCAAGCAATGGCAGACCAACTTAAGTGCATGGTGTTTGATTCTTCCACTTCCTGCATCCTTAATTAGACTTTAGTCCGCCTTTATTATTAATTTAATTAATTTTAATTTTTTTACATTACTTAGAGCTGGCAATTAAGTAAGATAAATAATTTCAACTTAGATTATTTCATATTTGAATTTTTTTAAATTAAATATTTAGATTATTTAAATTCAAACCATATCAAATCTATAATTTTTATTTTTAAAATAAAATAATTTAATATTAAATTTAAAATAGTTTGGATTCGAATTAATTAGATTTTAATTTATTAATATTTTCTTTCATTTAAAATTAAATCGAATTTGGATTTTAAAATTGTATGGGTTGATTTTTTTATTTTAATCAATTTTGTTTGTTAATAATTTTTTTACAATTATATGAAAAAATCTTAGTGTACCCCAATTATTGGTTAACCTAACTCCTAATCTAAGCTTGAAAGATTAGGTGGAATTGGACATCAGTGGCTTAACACAAAAGAAGAAACAAAAAAAGGTTATATCATGCTGTTTAGTGGTAAAATTTTTAATGTTTTAATCCATTTTTTTACAATTTGTCAACGGCTTAAAAAAAAGAAAATCAAAAAATCAAAAAGAAGGAAGGGGGCTGGTAAAAGAGCTAACAGCATAACATACCCCGCCACTCGCGCTTGTTACACTGAAAACGGTGCCACTAAGAAGAAAAATTTTTAAATTCTTACCTTT